GAAAGCATATCTAGGCCTCCATGGGTATGCCTCAAACACCTTGAAGAAAGACAATGACTGGAATTCCCTTTCAGCTTTGACTCGCAAGATTCTCGCTATATATGCTGCAAACCACTGGGGTAGAGATGTGTTCTGGCTCGCATCTCGATTCAACCACTCTTGCATTCCGAATCTTCACAATGCATACAACCCAAACATCAAGATGGAGACATTTCACAGCATTCGAGATATCAAGGCAGGTGATGAGCTTACTGTCTCGTACGTCTCTGGAATCTGTGCGCGGCAGGAGTGACAGGAACAACTGAACAAATGGGGATTTCAATGCAGATGTCCAGCTTGCGAGAACACTTCGAGTGGTATCCAATTGGAGAGCAAACTCGCTCGGCTCGCAATACTCAATCAGAGGGTCAACATGCTTATAACTGATAAACAGAAGCTGGATATGTACCAAACGATGGTGGCGCTTATGCATTCCATAGGCCTTGTTGGAAAATCTCTTCACCAATGGTAAGATTCCGGGTTGATACTTTGCTTTCTAGGCTTTCTAACATTGCTTTAGTTATCTCGATGCTGCTTTCTATAGCGCGGTATCAGGCAATGTACGCATGGCTGTGCTATGGACAGAGAAGGAGGTAGAGATAAACTATCGTTGCATTGGCCAGGATCATCCGGACTATCAAAAAGAGCTGACTGTATTACGTCAACTGAAACAGGCGGCAAACAGTGCGAAGGCGTTCCACTATACGCAAATTGACTGAATTATGGACTGGGACCAAGGACCCAGCTAGGCAGAGATGATGAGGATCATAGTGTCAGATATCAGGGGTGCTGAGAGGTCCTAAAACTCAGGTGAAAACTACACAAACCGACTCGATCCTACTTCGGCCTTACTTGCACGAGAGCATGTACATCTTCAGAGCACCTTGATTAAAGAACAATACAACAATTCATCACACCATTCATAAAATCCCATCGGATTGCATCATATTCTGACACATAGATATTAAGATGAAATGTATGCACGGCCAAATCGGGCCCCGTTAGGTTTACAGCCAATCACGTAGCTCCATTACTGAATCGAGGTGATGGGTCGGCCGCGCCTACCATTGCCAGAGCAGACTTGCAGGAGGCGGCTCCTATGCTTCTAAACCTATGCACCTCGAGCTGTTTTAGGCCTGCCCGCGAGTCTGTGCAGCTCAACAAATGTAGACGGGCACGATACCCCGCCAGCTATTAGTGACACGGCCCGCCGTTACCCGACAACGCGCATTGAGGCGGAGACAAGGTCCACTAACTTACCAGTACGATATCGCCCCGCTCCACCATGCTTCCGCCATGCTCCCGCCTTTGCCCCTGCCCCTGCTTTTTGCGGAGTGCTCATCCGAGATCGCGTTTGTATTTCCTGCCGTTTCGATCAACGCTTGCTACAAGCTGTTGACCTAGATCTACATGAGATCTATAGCAGCGGTCCCAGGACAAAGTCAGCTAGGTAAACGTCTCGATCGTCAAACTGTTATTAAGCTGTAATTACGCAAGAAAGGATATATTTCGAACTCGTTGAACGGTTGCAGGACGTCGGAAGTTGCTGAGCCCGAATCGGGGTGTTGTGGGCGGTGCCATACCCAAAGCACGTAGATTAGGCGGTGGCGCCACACTAGACTACAAGAGGAGAGAATACACATCTGATTCACGTTGCGTTTTCGGGGCAGGGTGCGAGATTGCCAGAATGGGGAGTTTCGGGGCTGATACCACGTGGGATCATATACTAGGCAAGAACGCAGTTGGTTTGATTGACCAAGCTGGAGTGCATCTGCTAGAAAGAGAGTTTGAGCAGATTGAAATAAAACTCAGGCAATGAAGACAATTGCTATGGTTGAAAGGCAGATGCTGTCTTGCTTTGGAGGAGTAAGCAAATGAGTGGTATACTGGAAGATAGGCGGAGTGGGTAACTCTCCTGGACATGGCGCGTGAATATAGATACGGTTCAATTCAGTGATCGGAACGGTGTGGTGTGGTCTGGTCTGTACCCTAACCTATAGGATCCCGCGAGCAAACTTGTCAATAAACAAACTGATCTATAGTTTGAATACCTAAAAAAAGCTAGTTTGCGTCGGGGGTTTCCTGTTTGAGTATTTAAACTGTAGATCAGAGTTTTTGTTGACAAGTCTGGTTACACGACAGATTCTCTTGGCTCGTGTAGTGGGGTGGGGTACATATCCACCCTTATGTCTGCCTTGCTCTCGGTCCACCACGCGCACCTTTTCTACCACGAACCTAAGCTATGCCGTTGCCAAGTTTCTCCCCACTGCCGGACTCGCCTGACCTAGGGCGACTTGTCCAAGGTCGTCTCAACAAGATTCATCAGCAGTTTCCAACCTTGTGCCCGAGGACGCTCGATGACTTCCGCATAGTGGCGGACAAGCTCTCTGCTATTGCGGAGGTGTGTCAAACCATTACGAAGAGACTAGCGGCGCAGGATGAGATATACGATGCAGCCGCAGTATTTAAGCAAGCTGAACGCGCCCTTGACTGGGCTGAGTGTATGATTCTTGACAACAACGTTAGGAACAGTACTAATTAGAGCCGTTCCAGTCTTAGCTGTGGTTCAAGTAGAGCGAGTACCTACCGAACGCACTCTTCTCTTCCGTGCACACGACCAAGCTGTTACAGATCGAGCTGGAGTGTATGCATCGGCTGCACGTAGGATACCGTTTGACGACGAATATCGGCAGCGAAAGTCTGTGCAAGAGTTCGTCAAGTCTCTCGGACTGCATTTAGGGAAGAAAGAGAAAGAAGCTGAGACAGGAAAACGGCTGAAGACAAAGTTTACCTCCACAAGTCCAAGGTTGGAATGGACCCTCCATCTGACGGCGAAGAAGTCGCGAGAACTACGTGATCAAGTCGACTTCGTAATTTTCGATCTTCGGGCGATACGTAAAACACCAGATACTACTGTGTTTCGTGTGACGGATGTGCTCCAGTTTCTCGAGACGAGTGGGCAGACCAATCTGATCCCGCGAGATTATCAGCAATGGGCTAGAAACTGTGACGAGCATATCATTATGGGAGAGGGCATTGAGAGGAGCATTGTGCATATTGTTCCTTGGCCCGCGCTACGATGGATGTCGATCATCAACGAGCCATTCTGTAGTGCCTACACGCTATCAACGTATGAACGGTTTAGAGATGGGCGTATGGACGGACGTTCGGAGACAGCGTATGAAGAAGCGTGTCAGCTAGTGGTGAACTCGGCTAAAGCCATAGCTGGGGGAGAGGTAGCTAATGCAGAGACTGTAGAGCACTTTGTTCATTTGATCTTAGAGCCTGGAGTATGGTTCTGGGGGATTAAAACGAGGAGCTCGGATGCAGAGATTGAGGCTGGATGCAAGGCACTTCTGTATGATGAGCTGGTTGCAAAGATGAGCGAAGTTTCTTTGTTGGATAGTCATAACGTATTACGACCTTATCAGACTTGATTTATCAGCCAATCAGAGGCAGAGGAGCAGAAGGCTCTTCCCTAGCGGCTCGCCTCATCAAAGTATGCTCATCCTTTCGCGGCTTCTTCCTCTGCATGCTGAATACTACAAATTTGACTGCTTGCAACGTGCTTCGGCTCTAGTAACGTACCAACTACACTTTGAGGCAGGTGAAGGTTTATCATAGGAAGCAAAGCAAGCCCCTCCTACTTAAGGAGCCTGAGAGGTACCACGGTGGAGCTGTCTTTGGTCTCCTCGTAAGGTCCGTCAGGCTCGGGACGATGAAGCAGTTCGACAACAACAACAACAACAAGAACTACAGCTTTAAAGAGCTGAGAGATCTCATCTTAAGGAGCAGGCTCGACTGTACAGGCTTCAATAGGCTAAGGAGAGGCGTGTTGAGAGAGAGAGAGACTTAAGGAGGTGAGGGAGAAGGAGAGAGCCGCTAAGGAGGCTGAAAAGGAGCGCTAGAAAGCAGCTCGCGACGCTGAAAAAGCTATACAACTGTCCTAAAAGGGTAAGCGCAAGACCTTACAAAGCTCTACTTAAAAGCAGAAGCGTTAGAAACGTGTTGTTGTTGAGTCGTCTTATGTAGAAGCTGAGGTGGCTGCACTAGCTATCTTAACTCGAACGACCCGCACGGCCGCACTACCAAGCTTCCGGGTAACTACAAGTAGCTTGAATTGATCGCAATGATATAGTTACTACAACTCTACAGAATCTCGCTATAATGGCCAATGTTGGTGGTGTTACAGCCTTATTTTTAGGGTCTCCTCATTTTGTTGGGTGGCTCATTGTGCGAACTGGCTCACCTCGTGCACGGGCACTGTAATGAACGACAGGGCCATTGAATGGCAAAGATTACCATCACTTTCATATCTTAGTCTTTTAGTTACGTTGGAACCAAGAAAATCTTTCCTGCTTTCGCAGTCTAAGGCACCCGTTTTCGATCATAAGTGAATGCATAGCACAGTACGTGTGTCGGAAGCTAGCTGCGGTTCCGATGCTGGGAGTGTTCGTTGTCGCAAGCTGCGCTGCCTGGAGTAAGGCAAACGGATACTATAACAAGCTCGATAACTCAGCAGCTTACTACGTCAACGTCTGCCTCCATCCATACTAGAAATACTACTCTGATAACAGCTGGGCCGACAAGCCGGAGTGGCTCCACGCACCTAGCGCTAGGTTCCAGCGACTCTGGCAAATACATAAACCTTGGTGCCGGCACTCTCTAGCAACTCGTACGACTGTAACAACGATTACAGGTGGGTTAGATGACTTAAGTGGCGCATTTATACGTCGGAACAACAACAACGAGGTTGTTGCGGACTGTGCAGGATAGGACCTTGTTACATGACACCTTACCCAACACCTTAATTGCGTTTTTGATTACGAGAGACTGGGTGTGTGGTTTCCTTTCATCTTAACTTAGGCTCAACCAAGCTTCAGGGATCAGGAATAGCATGTAGCCTATAGATACAGTAGTGTTTTCTTTGCATAACAAGTCTACATTGGCAGCTTCAACGTCTAAGCCCACATCTGCTTGAATTTACCATCAAACGCCCCCTTCAAACACAAAAACGCTTTTAGTACCTTTGGTAGGCGCATGTCTACATCATCCCATCCCTCCATCTCATCATCCTCATCATCCCAGACTCCAATTGGAGCCCAGACGTTTGTTGAGGCTGAGTCATTGCCTTCCTGTCCTGCATTTTCGTGGCTTCCGATTGTCATGTTATCGTCCTTTGATTCTTCATGCACGTCGCCACTGCCTTTCAGATCAGTTGCGTCTGCCTCGGATGGTGAGGAGGGTTTCATGAAGTTAGTCAAAGCTGTTATGATCGTTGCGCGGACGAGAGAGAAGTCTGGTTATTCGTTAGCAAACAATCATTAATGTTCTGGAGGAAACATACCGTTCAGGTGGAACCAGACATCGGACCTGCGGATCTTGTTTGCTTTCTCTAGGGCGTTCAGATCGCCATGCTTGTAGAAGTCATACAAGTACGCGTTGAGTGGTACTGTAGATTCCGGATGGACAGGCAAGTATGGCACAACAGCTTCTTCCAGAAAGACACCAGAACGTACAGTACCACAGAGATCGGAGATACTATCAAATTCGTCACCATGGCCCGAAAGTGAGACGAAGTGGGAACGAAGAACTGTGTGCTGATTCGCACTTGGGGTCATGTTGAATTGCTCGTCCGACCGACCAATTCGTATCCCACTCAGTGGCAATGCGTCATCCGGATCCTTTAGATGCTGATCCGCGAAAGTTTTGACATAAGTGCAGAATATTGCCAAGGTTTCGTTGTTATGAGCTCGGAGCGTATTTTCCGCTTGCTTTGGCAACGGCGGTAAGAAGACGATCGAAGGCGACCGCTTCACAACCTCCTCGACAAACTCCCCACCGACGCGTTTGCATTGTTGCCGACCAAAGATGTGTGACAGTACAAGCATAAGTGTTGAACAAACGTGTTGGGGATTGGAATCAATGCCTTGACAGAGATCATGGAAGTAGCCAGAACTGAGGAGTACGTGAAAGGCCCAGGCGGAGTTCTCGGTGTAGTATAAGTGAGTGACACACCCAGCAAAGTATATTGGCGAATCATGAAGATCCAGCAAGGACTGGCGTCGAAGATACTCGATTGAGAAGCGAAGATGGTGTAAGACAGCCATTTTGGATTTGGGGGAGCCAAGGTAGAGTCGAGGCTGGGAAAGAATAGAGTTGATTGTACGAATTGCGAAGTCGGAGTTGCTTGAGCCATGGAGCAAAGTGGCTAGCCGCAAGACCAGCGATGTTGTGATAGGAAAATGTCCGTTCAGATCTGGAAGTCTTGAGCTCATCAGACGGAACACTCTTTCAACAGGGATTCCACGAAACAGGATATTCCCAAGTAGGTCAAACCCTCTTCGACCAGCTCGACCAGCACACTGGCGGAAGTTGAGCGCGGTAAGGAAGACAGAGTCTCCAGCGAAAACTACAGTTTTACAGGGCATATTGATGCCCAGCGCAAGAGTGCCTGTAGCAATTACAACTTGCAGGTAGCCTCTACGGAAAAAGGCGTTAACATTGTAGGAGAGGGCGTAGAAGGCGTAGAGAGCGTTGTAGCGCGTAGTAAGGCGGTAGAGAGGCGGTAGAGAGGCAGTAGGGAAGGTAGAAGAGGCGAGAACAGGGTAGAAGGTAGATTGCAGCAGGGGGGGAAAGGGAGGCGAGAACAGGGGTGTGGAACCCGCGCTAACGCGACTGACAGGGAGCGGAATCTGCGCTAATTCAGAATCGCAGTGGAATTCCGTGCAGTCGCTTGGAGGTAGGAGTCTTTGGCGGTATATGCTACGAGCCTTAGGAAGTCTTCGGTCGGGATACGAGAGAGTTGCAAAGATGGCGGAGATGCAGGTAGCGGCACAGGCAGTAGAAGCTGTCGAGGTCCCGGAAGGCCGTCGCGACGCCATGCGAGTGGATCTCCAGACGTTCCAATAACGCCAGGCCTACCTTCTAGTCGAGGGCAGCCTCTGCTCTGCCTGTATGCGCCGCGCTCCAGTGGCCCTTCGACGCATGTCGACGCATGCAAACTCGAACGCTGCCCTCAACTCCTCCGTATCGTCTTGAAAGTTTGTATGTTGTCCCTCACTCATGCGCTCGGTCGCCGCTGTTGTCTTGCCCGCTCTCGATGTACTACTCGCGTCGCGTAGGTTGACCATATGTGCGACGCGCTCGTCGAGCGTCTTGCGCCTGTTCATACGCTCCTCCAGGTCCTTCACATTGTGAGAGTAGCGCAGCCTGAGCGCTTTTGCTGCCTGCGCGCGCGCATAGAGGTAGATGGAGGCCCGACGATAGAGGCTGTGGACCGTACGAAGCTCGATGGTTTTGTGGATGCGCTTCTCAGCCATGCGTCGCAGCGTGCGACTCGTCCATGCTAGGGCGCATGGTAAGCATCGACGAAGGTATAGCAGTATGGTGTTGAGGCGCAATCTTCTCGTGTGGGTGTGGGTGTGGGAGTGTCAAGAGGCAGTGCGTTTCGCCGCGGGGAAGCCGATAATGACGTCGCGCTAGCGCGTCAGCATTCACCTGGGCACTGTCACGAACTTGGATGCGCGCTTCCTCATATAGTCTATACATTGCAAAACGATTGTCCAGATATACTCTGTCGCCAAATGCGATACTAAACGACACTCCGAAACGCCTTTACTGCGATGCAAATCCCGCCCAAGGACTATCAACCCTCTCGCCGAATGCCGCCGTGTGTCATCTACTGGCCATTCGCGTTCTTGTAGCAAGGAAACCAGCAATTAAAGCTCTGCGTATTCGGCGCACTCCCATCGACGACCTTGCAGAAGCGCGTGGGTTGCCGATTCGGGTCCGATTCGGGGTCGGTCCATGGACCACGACCATTGCCCTTCATATCCGAGTCCCAATCGAAGAAGTTGACGTTTGCGCCGTTTTGTCCCGGTGCGTACTCAAACTCTAGCTTGGTACCAAAGTTGCCGGTGCGCTTTACCTGCAGATCGTTGGGAAGGCCCTGCAGGTCGCATGTGTCGCCGTTGTTGGCCAAGTTGCACTGAGCTGGCGTAAATTCCTTGTTCTCCCAGTCACTGAGCTTGATGTCCTTGATCGTCGCATCGCCGTCGCGCGTGAATTCGACGCCGCATTGGTAAAGCTCCGCGTAGGCAGTGTCAGTCAATTTATACTTGTTGTCGTCGCCATTGCGGTTGTAGTAACTGCTAAGCTTGCCGGATGCCCACGTCTTCTCCGAGAGCTCGAATTGCATGCCGTCGGAACCGCAGACACCCCTCGGGTTTGGGTTTGGCTGACAAAACTTGAGTTTAGTCTGATCAGCACCAGTGATGTCAAAGTCCACGTCGAAGAAGTCGTCGCGGACCATACCGTTGCTTGTTACAATGCGACCCAGCTTGCGACCGATGTCTTGATTCTCGTCAGCTACCATGCAGCGTAGACTGTTTGGTGCCAGTCGGTTCGGATCGTCGAATGGTAACTGCTGAGACATTGCAGGTGGCCATTCATCACAATCGTATTCACCCTGACCTGCTGTCTTGAGGCTCCACTTCTGGCTGAATGGGAACTCGCTACAAGGACTATAGCCTCCAGCAGAGCACCCAGATGCCTGTCGATTGTGTGCTTTCTCTAACTCGTTGCCTTTGGTGGGCCCGACGTACACGATTCTGCTTGGATTTTGGATACCGGCGGCTGGGGCCTATCGCAGACACAAATCAGTTCGAGTTTAAAGAGAGTGAGATGGCAAACACTAACCACGCAATTGATGTAGTAACAAGCATTGTTGCAAGCACCCTCTCCACCCTTACAATTTACGGTCTGTTTGCCGAAATCTGTCCCAGCGCGCTTCACGAACATTCTGTCTGCCCTTCCGGGTGCTACAATGTCGGGCATGTTGTTGCCCTGCTCCAAGCCCATCGAAGCCTGGAGTAGCAGAGAGATAGCCACGATGTAACGCATGTTGGGCAACGGAACGGACTTGTTTGACGAGTAAGGTATTGGAAAGCTCGGGAGGAAGTCAAAAGCGCAAACTGCGTTCAAGATGCGCGGAAGAAGAAGACTGATAACGGAGAGAGCTATCAAGCTGGAGAAATGTGCTGGTAGTAGAGAAACATGAGTAGGATGTTGCAACCTCTTTTATACCAATGCGAGACCACGTCTACCTCAGCGCATTCTACCATCATGGTCATGACTTCGATCCTGGCGGCTGTATCTTGGGGGCTGCATAACACGTTCCCCACAATAAAGCATACTCTCGTGGTGCTCATACTCGACATAGCACCCAGGCGTCCATCAGCGTAGACTCGCAAGTCAAAGTCTGACAGGCCAAACAGCCCCGGCATGTCCTGAGTGCGAAGAACGCCTGACTACTTCGAGCAATACGGCCACATGCGTAGGTAATCTTAGTATCTAGAAAAGTGGGATGTTGGGGGGCCAGGAGCCGGGCGATGATATGCGTAGTCAGCGTGTACGAGGCAGTGATCGTGGGGCTGTCTACGTTGCCGCCAACAATGTGCGACAAGGCTGAGTACATGTAACTCGAAAAAGATCGCGATACCTACACAACTATGCTCTTGATGCAGCCATGATTCGCTGCGTTGGACGTTCTGGAGTTTCGAGATCCACGTCTGAGCTTACGGTGCAGCTGCAGGTCAAGAATAAGGTGCGGCGCAGCTGCGCAGCGGGGGGCCTCGCGTAGGCATCCGCTCCGCCTCACTGCCTGCACCTGCGAACGCATGTGACGTCAGTGAATAGTAAGACCATTAAGGCCGCGACTTCGTCGCAACAATAACTCCGCAGACTTTGTAGCTTTCTGACTTTCAAATAATAACCACAACCTTGCACAAGCAATATGTCTGACCCTCCCTACGCGCTCTTCGTCCTCGACAAGAGCATCACCAACGAGGTCAGCACCGCTGCATCTATTGACCATGTGCACAATAGTAACAATCACAGTATCTCAACTCCGTCCTTGAGCGCGCCTACCATGGCGACGGTGGTGAGGACTGGAACTTCTGGGTCGCGACAGATTCCTACGACGACCTACCCGCATGCCCCGAAGTCCACAAGCCCCCTCCGCCCGGTGGCACGGAGGCGCCTGTACCATCCTCCTTCGTCTCACCCTGGCTCGGAAAGACGCCCGAAGATTGCGCAAAGTGGTTGCAGGCGATGCCACGCACCGAAGACACGGATGAGAAGAAGTTTAGGGTTGACACGCCTGTGAGCGACCTGTACTTTGTTTTCCTCAACGAATTCTCCAAGGACGAAGATCTTGTCTTCGTCGCGCGCGTTGTCGAGGAAGATGGGAAAGAGATGAGAGTTGAGTATTTTCCGCAGTCGACGGACAAAGTACAGAAACAGATGTGGACGATTTTGCAGTTCGACGAGAGAGTGATCAACTACCAGCGCAGGCAGTTCAGCAACAAGGAGCCAGATCGAAGTCAGTACAAAGAGCCGAAGGACTAGAGGTGTATAGTAGTAAACTCTCGCGCGGATGAAAGAGACAGTTATTGCATACTTGATACTTGATGGCAACGATAGGTGATCTCCTCTCTCTTCTTCTAGTTATGAGTCGCTCTCATGTCCATTTTCAATTCCGTCGTTCCACATGAAAGCTCAATTTGTCCATTGCGCAAGCTCCTGCCGACCGCAGTCGCGCCAGCTGGCAACTGTAGTGTAGCTGCCGTACCAGTCGGTATAACAACCGTGAAAGCAACGCACGTGCCGCTCAACGTCCACGCCACCTTGATTGGTCCGTTGGGGGTCGGTACCGTCCCGCTGACTTCTGACTGTTTCAAGAACCCTATCGTGGGAGTGATAAGAACCGTTTCGTACCCGGGAGAGGTTGAAGCGACGCCAAGAAGGTACTCTGGCAGTACATACGTCGGAGCTGCACCCCACGGATGCGCTAAGCTAGTGAAGAGATCGATGCCAGGAGAACCATCAGGCTTTACGTATTCCCAACTCGCGCCAGAGTAATACTCGTTCTTGTTGACCATGCTACCCCACAGGTTGTCGAGCAGATGCCTGATGGCAGGTGTGCTGTCCACTCCGAAGTCGCGCCTTGACTTGAACAGGGCTTCCAACAGGAAACCTGATGGATTGGGTGCCAGCTGGTAGTCGTCTGTCTCCATGTCGCTCGAGATGGTCTTGTAGCCTACTGCGAAGCGAAGCTCCTCAAGCTTAGCAATGGAAGATGCTGCTTGGGTGTCGTTGGCCGCACCAGATAGGATTGCCCAGGCGATACCGGTCAAGGAGAAGTTGCCTCGATCGGTGGTTGAGAGGGAGTATGTTCCGAGCTGATCATTCCATAGTTCACGATTGAGGGCCTCGCGCAGCTTGATGGCTATTTGGGAGTATTGTGTCGAAGAGTCTTCGTCGCCCATCGCAAGCGCAAGTGGCGCGATCTCCTCAAGCATGTAAGCGAAGAGACCGGTCGTTGCACTACCGTTGGCTGGCCCCAGGAAGCTGAATGGCGATGGAACCTCCGGAGAACCTCCAATGAGACCAGATAAGGGATCGATGAAGGCCAATCTCGCGGTGGCAAGTCTCTTGATCTGATCCCAGTGAGGTTTTAGCCCGTCGCGGTCTCCGGTGTGGCGGAAGTATTGGCCGATTCCTGCCAAGAATAGATCTTGGTAGTCTACCAACCCAGCGTAGTTTGCGATATTTGCTTCTTTGTACTGGGGTCGGGCTCCAAGGTTCGTAGAGATCTGGGTAAAGCCGGCGTATGGGCCGTCATCAAGCTGGAAGCTTAGCGCGTATATGATGGTGCCCAGGAGGTAGTCGAACCGAGCAGACGAAGCTGCAACGACACGCACAGTGTGATAGAAGTCTCCTGTCCAGACTAGCCGATCCCGTTTGGCACCATCCAGGCAGACTGAGTGTTCTAGAGGTGCGACCTGATACTCGGCCAAGGTATCCTCGCTCGTTAGAGAATTTCGATATATGGTAGTGCCGTTTCCAGCAGTGACGGTTACGTCTTTGTGATACGCGATCTGGTCCTGCATGCCTCCGAAGCCCCATGTGCCTTGGTATCGAGAAGGTGTGCCAAAGTTCCCGGGGGGTGCAGGCGGAGGTAAAGGTATGAACGCAATCTCGGTTCCGTTTACGCTTACCCGATATCCAGTCTCCTCGATTGATGTGCGCACGCGATACCACAAGTTCTCCTTGATGGTTGTGTTGATAGTAAAGTACTGGGCTTCTGGCACGGATAGTGTGCTCTGGTTTACTAGACTCCATCCAGTAGTGAACGCCAGTGTGTTTGGAGGCAAGAGGGTTCGGTTGGTGTTTGCGAGCGTGTTCTGCTCAGGGTATTCGGATGTAAGCACGAAGTAAGGCCCCAGTGGCGGCATTGCACTTGCTACTCTCCAGCCTGCGCCGCCGCGGGCGATCTTTACGTCGAATTCCAGTGTGTAATTGACTGCGTCAACTCCTAGAGAAGATTGCGCACTGGTTTGGCCCCGGATATATGCTCCTTCTTTTGTGATCTCCCACGTAGATGGTGCATTTCCGGCATCTACACATGCTACTTGAGCGACGCGACCTCCTAGGTCCAAGACAAGATTCAAAGTCTTATCAGATGTCTGTAAGCGGCCTGGTAGCATTTCAGCGTCCAAGTTTGAGCTTGTTGCGCGAAATCCCAGATGATCAATAGTGACGGAGCCATTGGTAATCAACCGTGCGGTCTGCCATCGCTGGCCTCCTTGGACGAAGAAGCTCTCGATGTATCCCGTTTCTGTGACTTTGAACGTTTCTACTCGGAAAGAGTTGGATAGTCCATTCGAGAATGTCCAAGGCCCATCCGAGAATGGCTCTTCGACGCCGCGGTACTCTTCGCTGTACTTTACTTCGATCTGCACCATTCCATAAATTGCTGAAACATAGAAGAACGGGAAGCCGGCTACTTCAGTGCCGTAGTCGAGCGTAACGAGTGGGTTAGCTGGCGATAGGATTAGGGTCCCATTGTTCCACGGCTTCAAGCCCGATGATGAGGGCTCAGATTGCTGTAGGTGTGATTGGGGTGCAATTGAGCCATAATCCACAAAGCTAATATTGTGAGTGAACGGTCTTTTGTACGTATTGCTGAAGGCTTACGCAGTCGTCAATGGGTTGACAACAATTGTGATAATCGCAAGACGCTGAAGAAGATTCATCGCTGCTTCCGTGCGAGGTGATTTTGACAGGGCTTTCGTTGGCAATGCGGCCGGACCATGATTATAACCAGCAGTCGTCCCTACAACATCAACTGATGGTCGGAAGGTGGTGGAGAAGGAATAGCCGATGATATTGTGACTCTCGGTGCAAATGTAACCGACGCGATGTAGCTTCGGCAGATATTTGCTCACCATTGGCCAGTTCAGTCGGAGCGTTCTTGAAACTAAGGGTTCTCTGGGCAGCCGGGTACCCCGCACGGGGACTTCCCCACAAACCATCGTATCTCGTATCTCGTTTTGTGCAGTTATCGTACGGGGAACCTTTTCTAGTTTCCGTCATAGGGTACAGCCTGGATGATGCTCGGTCGGGCTCGGTCGGGTTCGGAGCAATGCTTGTGGCCGCATTTACGTTGCTTTTATCGTGCTACGATTCTGCGCTCTTCTCGAATCGTGTGAAATCTTCTCTTAACATATTCCGCAGAATTGTACCCGCCCTCGCAGACTGCGCGATAGCATCTTCAACGGCTTGTACGTCGCTCATACTGATCTGCAACGTCCCAGACAAGAGCTCTTTGGTGATGTCATCTCCTGTCGTGACTGTCATCTTCTTCGTACCCGTGATACCCAAGTCGACCTTTGTGGTAGTCGCCCATGGTGTGCTGTACCACAACCACTTCTTCCCGCCGCATGGTATCCAGTACCGCCAGCTAATGTTGTAACCCTCGTTCGCTGCGCCTTTGGGTCGGAAGTTGGAAGGCAACGTCGTCTCGGGGTCCGGGACTTGTTCGTCGGCGATGCGACCGGAGAGCACGCGACACGACGGTATCAGTTGTATCGCGCCAGAGACACGGACAGCCAAAATACATGAATCGTAAAGATCCATCCCGCCCAGAGGCGAGCCCATGAGCCATGCGACACTTGAGAGTAAAGTGTCACCAATGACGCCGACCACAGTGACGCCCAGCTCCGATCCTGAATCTGCGCGCGTTGGAAGCTCGAAGTAGTCTGTGTACTCCAAATTGGCGTCGCTCAAGAGCCTCCTAATAATCACGGGATCTTGCGCGTCGTTCGCATAGCTGAGCACGCCGCGGGGGTGGTTCAGAATCTGGTGCTTCGACACCCCAACCGCCAGTCCGAGTAGCCGCAAACTTAACTCGGGTGGCCGGTTCTCGTCCGTTATTTTCGGTGTAATGATGTGTTTCATGTCGTCTACCTGCTGTGCGAAGTGAAAGAAGATCGATCGAAGCGCAAGCCAGATGACCTGGAAACCAAGCCAGATCCGGAAACAAACGGCCGGCTCATTCGAAAGAACGGCGTATGTGCCGAGAAGGGAAGTAATGCAAACGGCGGCGCCTATAATCCAGAATATCTGCCACGCGCGACCTCTGCGAAGGTTGACAGGTACCCCGAGGAGAATCCTGCGCTCTCCCCCGATCACTTGCGGTGTAGGCAGCGACCCAGAGACGACATCAAAATGTCTTGACTGCTCGCCAGGTGTTGTAGCTCTTCCGACGTGAAACAACTGCAACGCGATCGCCGAGAAGAAGGTGTACGCCCAGATGACTCCAGTAACCAGGAAGACGCGTCGAGAGCCGAAGTGGTAGAGCAGATACATCTCTACGACCTTCAGCAAGGTTGCAAACGTAATTATCCAGTCGTTTCTGGTCTGTGAGCGTTGTACAATCTCCCAGTAATGATCTCGCATGTAGACGTGAGCTTGTAGATGCTCCCCAGGTTGCATTACTGCACAAGATCGCAACGGGCCGGCCGTCCATTCATCGAAAGCGTAAACATCTTCGAAATCTTCGCTCCCAGCGGTTATCAAAGTAGAACCTTCGCTGGTCTGAAGTCGATTAGACATGTCCTCGAATGTGCTTCTTAATCTTGACTTACCTTGGTCCACTTCACCGTCACTCCAACAGCACTGCCAGTGACTACGCGACTGTTTGCCTTCCTACTCAGACTCACGCAACACCCAATAGCCTTATCAGAGCCACTGGTTCTCACACCAACGGTATCTCGAAGCCATCCTGGTGTGCAGGCGGATATGCATGCTTTGACGATGAAGATCGACCCAAAGGAGCTCAGAGCCGCCCATGGCAAACCGCAAGCGCCGCGATTCCCTAGAGCAATCAGTTCAGCAGTCGAGCCCCCGATCACAGCAGTCAGAGCCGCGATCTCGACCAGACCGCCGCTGAAGTTCACCTCCTCTCCTTCGTCTAGGCTGCTAGCGCATACATGGAACATGATGGCGACAGTGGGTGGTTGTCTTGCGCTGCGGAATGGAAATGAGGCGATGCGACGCTTTTATGATCCAGCTGGTACCAGTTCCGGTGTATGATGCAGCCTGGCGTGATGCCCGTTCAGCTTCGGAGGGGTAGTTGTGGCTGGTCTGTACAGGCTCTCATTCGTCTGCGTCAGCATACACAACTGTTGGCTGCATTCGCAGTCGCAAGTATACTGGTTCGCTGTGAACAGGCTTGCCGCCTATGGAGTCGTCGGCAGCTCTTGCAGACATCCTAAGCTGCACCTATTCTCTTTGCGATTGCGACAGGCGCAATAATGGAAGCTTATGTAAATTACACAGTCTAGGCAGCTTGTGCGCGTCAAGTCATTTCCCGTCTATTCGACGCGTCAAGCCTCGTGGCACAGCAGCGGCGGCATCAGGCAGGTCGCACTCATCGCAGCTGTCATCGCGACGATTCGCGAAGACGTGTTGCAGCACTAATCGGAGTGCGGTCTGGTCGCGATGGCGGTATACGTTGTCACGCAGAGCATTGTTGAAGTGGTGAGGTAGGTTGAGACGGGTCCATTGTTGGTGAGGCGAGGTGTTGAGATGTTGGCACGTGCCTTTTCAAGTGCCCGAATCGCCGCACGCACCTTCACGCCAACGCAACAGGCTTACAATCTTCATCTAACTCACACAAATCGTATCGCCACTTTCGCCTCGCCCACCGCCGCTGTGCGGGTGCGGATAATTCATGATCTTAACGAATTCATGGGCGCAATAGCACTTTATCCAATGTACTTGCTTATTATAAGAGCCACTTCCAATGATACAATTGTCACGGCAGGGTATTGTAGTTTCCTAATCTGCATTTCATTATGACTACCACATGAAATGCCTCCTACCCAGCTTTCCAGGTTGTGTACGATCAAACATACAAGATTGCCGCCAATAGAATACAGGAAACCAATAAACCAAACTGCCCTGCGTAGGACTGTACCGCTGACCCTACGAAAACCTGTCGACGCTGCTGAGTCTGGTGTTGAGTCGGCACACTCTGAGGATTGCGGAAGACATTATCAGGGTCGACAGCTGCCTTAATCTGCTGCAAGCGAGGCACATTGCCGCCCCAGTAGGCCTGCTGAGGGTCCGCAAGCTCAGGATCGACGTAGCCTGGGTACGCGCCATCATCGCACGTCTCCTTCTGCACTAAGCTGCTAAGGCCAGACAAGAACGTCTTGGACGCGTCGGTGACGGGGCCCCCAAGATTGACGACATAGCTCTGCATGAAGTAGGCGGCGTCGCGGTGCCAGTATGCGGTAGCGGTCTGCGGGACATCGGCGATGGCGCCGCCTTCGAGATCCCAGATGACGAGCCAGACTGGCGCTCCCTTCTCGGTGCCATTGATGTAGGAGAACATGGATTTGATGGCTCCGTCCGAAAGCAGTTTGTGATTGGGCGTCTTGACACTCTTGGCGTAGAAGGGGATGGGGAAGCTGCCGCTGGCTGTCAGGTCTGGGTCGCCGAGTCCGGGGAACGGAAGTTCGCCAACGGTGATGTCCACAACGACGGTTGAGGTATTAGCAGGAAGGATAGACTGTGCGTTCAGCTTATCGAAGTCGGACTTGGGCCCGTAGAAGTTCCCGTTGATGACCATCGAGCCCTGGCTGAGAGTCATCGTGCTGGAAAACCGGCGGTCGAGGTTCTTCTGCGTGCCAAACTTTTGCCATTTTTGGAATGTGCTTGCGAAGGCATTTGCGTCGTCGGCCGCGATGGTGTAAGCATACTTGGTGATATTCGTTGGGGCGGGTGCAGTCCTCATGGTGAACTCTGTGACGATGGCGAAAGAGAAACCGGCACCTCGGATGGCGAAGAACAAGTCGGGGTTCGTGCTTGCACTAGCTGTCACGGCGGTGCCGTTCGCAAGCACACATTGCGCTGACACGATTTGATCGGCTCCGACGCCCAGCTGGCGACTGAGCGTTCCGAGACCTCCAATGGTCAAGTGGCCACCCGTGCCGATGACGGCTACTTCACCGTATGCCATAACCCGCTTGAGAGGTAGAAGCTTCTCGGAGATGTTGCCGAGAAGGTTTCCCTGTGAAAGATGCGTACGTCAGCGCATGTGCAACAAAGGGTGTTCGTTACAGGTGTAGTGTCAGGAAGTCACTTACCGGACCAAAAGTTACCGTGTGGTCACCCTCGTTATACGAGAAAGATGCCATGTTCTTCATGTCAACCACCAATGAGCCATTGAACCCTCCCAGTGCTATATACGACGTTCGTGTTAGCAAGTTCTTAATCGCAAGTCGTCCTTCCGGGGTCAGGCTTACCATAGTTCGCATAGCTATGGCCGCCGCTGCGCGCCTGGACCGCAACTCCTGCGGCGTTCGCACACTTCACGACCTCCGACACTTGCTCCTGGGTCTTTGGGAACGAAATCGCGGCCGGAACAATGTTGTAGTTGAGATTGTATGGGTGTACATCTCCCTGCAAGAACATCGGATCATTCGGTAGCATCCAAGTGCTGGTATCGTTGCTAAGGGCCGTTTGGAGACATTGCACGAAAGGGGCGTTCTGGGCTGTAGCAGCAGTCGCGGCCGTCAATACGGTCGCTGCCAAGAGGTTCTTCATCGTCGAAACCGATGGTGAGGCTGAGGTATGGTAAGGACTGTTGGTGGGCGAGTATGGCGAAGTAGAGAGATGATAAAGTCCTGAAGCGAGCGGATGAAGAAGAACTCAAGGAAAAGAGCGCTTGGAAAGGCGATTCCATCATCTTATGTCGAAAGACCTAGTTTGCTTGGTTTGTCGCGCGAGCCTCAAGCCTTATTCCAGGATGTCCAGGTAATCTTACATACCGCCGTCTCCGACGTCAGCCCTCTGTCGTTCAACAACGATGCCTCCAGTAACCTTCGCACAGCACCGAAAGTAGACTGTGCCTGCAACGCAAACTGCGCTTTGGTACTGGTTCGTACTGGTCCTTGAAGCTGCCATCTGGCAGGCGCAGATTCTCGCACATCTCGAGGCTGCAGCGTCTTCGCACCCGTGGACGTCATCAGCCTTGTGCGCGCCACCACGATGATGCGCAACCAAGAAACTCACTTTCCGAAAGAACGACCGGTAAGCACCATGCTGACAGAACGAGGCTCAAGGCGGGCAAAGTAGTGGTTTTACTTCGGTGTTTGGGTTCGAGGCGCACTCTATTTACCAGGGGAACGCGTTCTCGACCAATCACGGAGGATCGCTGGAAAGATCCCCCGCGTTCTACATCCACGCATTGATTGAACGCTGGCTCTTCCCTACCGGCACCATCCGGGCATTGAATTGCTTACTACGCTAGGTATGCCACGATTGTTTGGCAATATAGCATGTTCCTTCTCACCCGACACCGGCGTCGTGTTCGGACGCTCAGCACTGTGCGGTCGCGTCAGCGCAATGCGCGTCGCGCTTGCAAATAGTGCCGTCTGTATCGTGGCAGTGCTCAGCCTTACACCAGCATCTGTCGCGCCGCATATCTGATCATCATACGCATCAGCCCGGTGTAGTGCTCGCAGACGGCGAGCTAGTCTCTGTCATAGCTCTAGAACATGGTCGTTGAAGGTCGAATTGGTTGGGACCGCGATGGACGTACACAGCATCGAGAGGCGGACCAGTAATGCTAACAATACGCCGCCACTAATTGTCGCAACAGAACCCGCATATTAATTTCTAAAGTCGCAGTCGCAAGGCATTCAATTCAGACTTGAGATGCGTTCACAAGGTCGGTACCTAGGTACACACAAGCCGGCCGTACCCGCACCGGTCAGCTACTTCTGCATCTGTGCTGCAAATTTACGAACAGACAACGCCAATCCGTAGAATCTAGGAACATGCAGCACTAAAGCGAAGAGGCACAGTAATACCAGAGTACAAAACAACTTCTCAACAAGCGTCGACCCGAGTCGCGTAGATAGGGAACATCTTCTCACGTGTTCGCGTCCGGGTGCCCTCAACGGCCATCAACAACCCACGAGATGCGCTCCCAGTCCAAACCCACGGCCCGACACGAACGTTGAGGATCGGGCGAAATGGAGCGGACATAGCACCCTGTGGTCGACCGTCGACAGGACGCTTCCGGTAGATGCCGTTGATGTAAGCATGCCAACATCGGACGTCTTGGTCGGCGGTTCACAGAAATGCAGCTAGCGAACAATATATCGCTTTCTTCAACATCTCTATTTGAGATGCTTGCAAACTTCGCTTACGGTATCACGAGTGAAAGATGACGAGAGCTAGTATCGAAATAACCGAATACGGCGAGTTCCGTTCCGTTCTTAGGAAGCAATGATTATTTTGGAACCCTGATTGGATTTTGCAGCTATGAAATGTATCAACTCGCTTTTCTGGCGTAACTCCTAGCCTCCTACTTCGCAGCATTCCCCTCATTCGCCTTCTCTGGCGTAGGCGCAAACTTCGAGCGTTCCCTAATCGGACCACCATACTTATAAAACACAAACGGAATAGGCGCAAGCACGCAAGCCATACCAGCAATGAGCGAGCCACCACCACCGACGCCAAGAGCATCGAACATGTACTGCGTGAACAAAGGCGCAGCAGCTCCTGCGGCGGAGCGCACAACGGTATTCGCTGCCAACGCGCTCGCAGCGTACATGAGATATGTGTCTGTGAGGTAATTGAGATACGCGACGAAGATGAGTAAGATGGAAGTCGAGAGGAAGACACCGCCGAGCGTGGGAACGACCCAGTGAACGCTATTGTACTCTGCCGACCACGCGAACCAGAACATGGTGATGGGGAACATGACGCCACCGAGCATGGCTACAGGAAGACGATCTTCGGGTGTGGCTTTGTAGCCGGCTTCTGCCCTCTTTCTATCCCTGGCTGTGTTCGCGAAGATGATGGCGCCGCCGATGGCGGCACCAAGGGCAGATCCGATGAGTGGGAGTTCTCCGACGCCAGAGTTCCAGCCGCGATGTTGTTGGAAGACGATGGGGTAGATGGTGAAGAGCATGTACAGCAGGGCGTATACGACGGCGAGATAGATGGCGACGGCGAAGGAGATGGGGTCGATGAGGATCTTCCACGGTCGGGTGAGAGCAACATGGAACATGCCTGCGAGGGTCCTATCCGTCACTTCAACTGGTGCCTTGACCTCTTCATAACCAGGGATCTTCAGGGCGCGTATGCGCTTGGCTTTGTTGCGGAGCACGATTGAGGGCAATGTCTCCGGAATCGTGAACATTAGTATCTCGGTAAAGGCACCCAGCCAGAGAAGGACGTAGAAGCACCATCGCCAGTCTTTCTTCAGTTGAAGAAAGCCTGATATAACGGGTCCGAGCGATGGGCCGATGAAAGTCATCATAGAGAAGGCAGCCATTGCATTTCCACGCTCGAGAGGTCCCCAGATGTCTGCCAGTACACCTGGTGCGTTGGAGAGAGGAGCACTTGCAAAGGTACCTGTCAAGAAACGACCCACCAGGAGCCCGCCGAAGTTAGGGGTGAATGCGCAAAGGAAGTTGAAGGCGAGGTACAGCGTAAAGGTAACGTAGAAGATGTATCTGCGACCGAAGAATTCCGAAAGCGGGGCGAATACCAAGGGGCCAGCGCAGTACCCTAGGAGAAACAATGTGATAACGAGTCCCCCAGCTTCGGTGGAGACGTGCAAGTCTGTCGAGAGTGACTCAAGCGTGCCAGATGGGCTAGAAGATGCGAATGTAGCGTTCACAACTAGGGTGACCGACACCACGGTGATGTACCATCTTCTTGCGGTGGACCAGTTCTTAGGATTTTCGATATCGTCAGGGCCAAACTCAAGCAACCCTTCATCGTTGAGGTGTATTTCTTCGGAGGCTTCTATGTCGCCGGTCTTGTATGGCTTCGCTGTCGGCCGCGACAAGAATCGCTCGAGCTTCTCCATGGTTGACGGTTAGGTTGGGGATATGGGGAGAAGGCACAGGTGGAAACAAGCCTTTCCCCACGGCTTGGTGCGTTATACATAGGCCTATTCAAGCCACATTTCTGCGCGGATGATGAAATGGGTTCGGCCGAGGCCATGGTTGGTAAGGGTTCGGAGCTCGTCATTCCGCGGAGGGCGCCAACCGAGCGTCCGCATGAATCCACAGCGTCATCGAATCATAGAGGTCGGTCCAACGTCAGCTCTGACTTTGAAACTGTATGCTTCTGAATTGTAACCCATGAATTGAACTGCGATGACTCCGTGTCTACAGGTAAGCCAATGCTGATGGGTCAGAGTGGTCGGAGGGTCGCGACATGAGTGGAAATGTGAAGGGTTTTGGCGCAGTTAAGCGTCTTTCGGAGATAATGAACGATGACATCAACCGGTTGCCGCGCCCCAATTTTCGGCTATGCTTTTTCTTGTTCTCTACACAACAGGCACTCGAGGTCATCGGTCTTGCGCGCGCAGTATTGACGATGATGTTTTATAAATGCCCTTGTTGCAATGAAAGCTTAGTGGTGGTAGAATCACGCCTTTAGGAAACAGCTGGTCGCACAGGAAGATCCGACAGCATGCCACACGGATGTCAGCTTAGGCATCCAAGCTAAGGGAGAGAAAAGGACGGGTTGCGCGGAAGGGTGGAGTTGAACGGTGGAGCGGAAGCGCGGCCGGCTCATGGCTTGGGGGTCGATGCAGGTGGATGATCCACCTCAAGCTGTCGTACTTCAGACGCGCTGCGAGCCTTGAGTAGCGTCCGCATCGTCGCTGTAATACCCATCATCGTCAGCGCTCGCTCGTCCGGCCAACTCATACTCTCCAGCATCAGCCAACTTCGCCGCAGGGCCGTCATCAACGTCTTTGAACATGCGATAGAACATGACGCCCGCGACTCCGGCGATCAACGCCAATCCAAAGTACAACCACTGCAAGTGCGGGTCTCTTGCCAACGGAGCAATCAAGATACCCAACGCGCTTCCACCCGCGCTTGTGAGCAAGAAGAGACTCATGATGAAGCTCTTCATATTCTCGGGTGCCTTCGCATATGCCAGTTCCAAGCCGGTAACACTAGCGAGGATCTCGCTCAGTGCGATTAACACGTATGCTGGGGCTTGCCATGCGACGTGGACTTGGTTTGGCTTGAACTTGCCCTTGCTGATCTTTCCAGCGTCGCAGTTCGATGGACTGTAGTAGCAAGGTGGTGCCGCGTAGATCTTTGACTGGAGAGCGCCTGCGTATAGCATGGCAAGCGCAGCCATTAGGAAACCGAGAGAGATGCGCGTTATTGGCATCAATGCGATGTGCAGTCGTGTACGGATGAACGGGTAGACGAGGCGGTCCATAATCGGGATTAGGATGATGATAGTGACAGGATCGATGTTGGGAAGGATGTCGTTCGGAAGGCCATGCAACTCCATTTGACCGGCTTGCGAGACGAAGTTGTTCAGCATCTGCGAGTACGAGAGCCAGTAGATTGGGAAGAACAAGAAAACTTTGCATGCGACCAGCGCGGTCTTCAACTCGTCGATAAACTTGTCATCCCAAGTCACCTTCGACCTGCTTCTTCCGTGCCCTTGAGCGGAAGCTTTCGCTTTGTCAAGATCTCCGCCGTTCCTTGCGGCGATGTATAGGGCGCGAAAGCAGTTCCCAATCACCCCGCCTTGAGGTGGCTTGATGATGTACTGCTTCCTTCCTCTCACCAACACCACATAGCCGACGCAGAACATAACTAATGGTAGAAGATATGCGCTCCAGAACCCAACATGCAACTCCAACATAGTCGTTGCGATCGCAGAGATTGAGCCTACATTGATGCACATGTAGAATATCATGTAGATCCTCTGTACCGTAATCTCCGGATCGACGATGACCCGCTTGCCGCCGGGCAAGTCCTTAACGAAAGGTTTGTTGGACCGCACTTGCTCCGCGATCAACGGCGACACGTTGCTCTTGATGCCACCAGTACCCAGGCCGATGACCAGCATCGCGACGACGAGTCCAGGGTATGCGGCTCCACCTCGAACCGCCCACGGCAAGCTGGTAACGAAGAGAATCGCGATGCCGACCATGTACACCAAACTGAACCACTTAATCGTCGCATACTTCCCCAGATACTGGTCCGCAACAACGGCGCCAAATAAAGGCGTGAGGTAGCACCAGAATTGGAAGAAGTTCGTCATCGCTGTCGCACCACTCTGCTTCAAGCCAAGAGCGCCAGGTATGCCATTGGGGTCGTTGTATTCGTTGGCGATGTAGTTCTGGAAGGGCCCGGAGAGTCCGTAGTAGGCGAAGCGCTCACAAAGCTCGACAACGGCGACTAGAAAAGCGCCATATGGCAACGTATCCGCTACGCGAGGCAGAAATAGCAGATCCTCTGCTGTCGGTATGGAGCCGATATGAACAGGCGCTTCAAAAGTAACGGCATCCGCGTCTTCATTTGCGACGTCTTTGCCGTGTACTGTGAGGTTTGCACTTGCAGTCTCGGTCTGCGCAACAGTGGTGTATGCACCCCGCTCTTCGCCATTCTGTCGCCAAGATGAAGCCATCTTGAATTGAGTTGTTCGATTAGGTGTTCCTTGGTTATGCTCTCTTGGTGCTTGGTGGTCCTATTCACTTGATTGGGACCCGTCACAGCGATCAAAGTCTCTTGCTGCTATATCCTGTGCTCACGCTCATGGCATGGTCGGAATGTGTATTGCGTTCATGGCGGCGCGGTGTTGCCTGAAATATGGAGACTGAGCCGTAAGTTGATGAGATTGGAGATGAAGACACGCGTTCGCGAACACGGGAAGGTGAGACGGTGCTCGTGTCCGGTCTAGGCCGGATCGGTTGCTGAATACCCCACAACACATCACAACCGTTCAAAGCCATGCCTTTCGCAATCGCACATGAACCATCATATTTAAATGCAGTTAGGACTGATAGCTATCGCGAGCTGGGCTTGCTACTCATGGGCTGATACTGCCTCGCGTGGATACACTCGCTCACGAAAGAAGGACCGTGGGTACAATAGATAGAATCGGAATTGCCCATAGAGGCGGGCTTGGAAGGTGCGCGACAGTCCAGCCAAAGTGAAGAAAGGTCTTCGCATCAAACGCATTTGATCGAGTGTCGACCACAAGTATACCCGCCCAAACTCCCTCTTAGCAAATCAATCCTCCCACATACCAGCAGCCAAACCTCTCAAACCCACCATACCTAGGTAATTCTCACTTCTCCACCACCACCCTACCTAGGCGTAGCAGGCGGCGTCATTATCCTGCCTCTACCGCCACCCGCAATCATACCACCACCCTCACGCGCCTCACATTGCGACATGTGGAAGGCCTTCAGTACGTTCTTGTTCTCCGAGAACTCCTCCCACGCACTCTCATCCTCGAGTATAGCCGGCATGCGCATCCTCACACACTCGATGATGGCTTTGCGCAGTCCACGGTCGTTCTCTGGGCATTGCTCGTGGAAGATGCATGTGGCCAGGTCGACGATCATGAGTGGGTCGGTTATGAAGGGGAGGCGGTCGATGATGGCTTCGGCGGCGCGGCGCTTGATGGGTTCGAGGTTGTACTGGGTAGAGGGTCAGCGTGATGGATTGAGGAATGGCATGGCAGCAGGTACCTTATCCGCGGCAATGAAAAGATCCAGAAGTTGGTTCATGATGAGCTCTTTCTCGATCTCCATACGGAGCGCGAAGTTGGTGAAGATGGAACCAGTAGTCGGGTTGTAGACACCGTACATCTCGTCGAGGAGAGTCGAGACGACGTGCGCCGACTCTGGAAGCTCGATGGATTGCTTCGCGGTCTCGGAAAAGCCACCGCTGCATACTGCTCTGAAATAGTACGACTCTTTGCAAAGCTTGACGCGATGGACGCGGAATTGACTGCCACCCGCGAAAATGGTGAAGTCTGACCATTCACCCGTCTTCCGTAGACGAGGCCACTCAGAAGAATCAGTAGGAACCGCCATCCAGGGCTGCGGAGCTCGGCTCGTGAAGCCCTGCTGTTCCATGTCGAAGTCGGCCTTGACGAAGGCGACCTTCCTACCGGCAATGTTAGTCTCAGGTACAACTTCGGACGTGGACTGCTACATACTGTGGCACTTCATAGCTGTAGAAGAAGTGGTTGCCAGCCGCTGTCGCAATATCCTCTAGCACATCTAGGAAGCTACGAGCTTGGTCCGGTGCCGCAAACTCCAAATCTACCTGCAGATGCTGGAAGAGGATTGAGGCTTTCTTGCTCTTGTCTCGCCAGGCTGCTGCGCGGGCGCTCTTGGCTTGAAAGTACATGAGTTCGTTCGTTTCGGGGAAGCGGAGGACGAATGCGATGCCAGCAGACGTGTATGCGACGAAGCCAAACTCAGCGTTGGCGCGATCGAGGAAGAGGCTTGTAGGACCAGGGGTCTTCTGCTCCTTGCCAATGGTGAAGGACCGGAGCATCCAGAAAACTGACTTGGGGTCCTCGGCGATGGACTTTGGAAAGGGAGGCATGGTGATCGCGAATGCTGGAGATTGTGAGAGAGGTACGCAATATATGGGATAAAGGGTCGTTGTTGTAAGGAAGGTGTCAGTAAGGTACAAGATTGATAAAGAGAGTCGAGATGGGGCAAACTATTTTCAGTACCAGCTTCGCGGTGATGAGGATAGCGGTATTGTTAGTGGTGAGCAGTGAGCGATGAGCGGAGATTGTCGCGATGGCATCGCAAACAGGGAACCCAAGGGTCTGCCCAATCGACTTACTCGATCGAGCCGTGATGATGATAGATGAAGAGTTGTATATCAGTTGCGTCCATTGGGAGGCGTAGGATGAAATCGATTATTATATTGCGAGTTGGTGCTATCAAAGCCGTGGGTGATGCCAAGCCCTAGCATCAGTTCCTTTGGCCATTTTAATCCGACACTCCGTGCCAGAAGTCATGCCGTGATATATATCGCGCCATTGAACGCCGATGACCCAGATGTTGTACAGTAAATTCGGGAGAAGATCGTTGATATCGCGTAACGCCGAGCTTGAGATCGAGCTCACCAGGTCGTCGCGACCTGCGGGTATTCCTTCTTGCTGATCTTCAGGTCGTCATAGACAGAGTCGTCACCTAAGACTTGATTAGCACACATCGCATTTGCCAGCGGTTGAACAACGTACCGTGAAGATGCTCGACGCGCAGCTCATCCTCATGTTCAAGCTTCTCAATCTCCTCTTGTGGAGTTTCCTTGTCATGCTTCTGGTCCTTGGTGGTCGGCTCGACGCCACTCTCCAACTTCTCTCCGATGAGCAAAATTTGGCAGTACTCATAGTCCAGGTACTTCGGCTTGACTTCGACCCAAGCAAGTCCGCGGAACTCGTCGATAAACCTGGCAATGGTCAGTCATGGATGATTGGTCATATCGGAATCACTTACTCCTTGGGAAAGTCGGGCTTCTGAGGAAGCTGGGCGGAAGCCGGTCCGCTGCGCTCAGGGTTCTTGACACTCATGACGAAGCTGCCCTGGTCCTTGATACCCAGGTCTTCCTGAACCTCTCCAAGCTCCGAAGGTATGGTGGTAGAGTATACGAGGTGGCACGTCCGGTCCTCAGTGCGTGTAATGGCATACACGCCTTCCGCTACCGGTGCGACAGGCTCGGTGCGTCGGCTGCCTTGTGTCTTGGTCTCGTACTCGTCCGCACCAAAGAAGCTCTCCTTCAGCTCTTTGATGGAAGTGTTCGCCTTCTCGACAAATGCCATGAATTTATCATTGTGCGACTTGGGGAAGACCTTCTTGGGCAGCGCAAAGAGTCGGATGTTGTTGTCGTCGGCGAGTGCACCGTCGCCTAGCTTGGCTCCGGATGGCATTGGTCGGAGGACGAAGAAGGTGCGTTGAAGGTCGCCGACGCTTTCGGATTCCTCGACGCCGACGCGGTTGCGGGTGAAGAAGTAGATGACGCCCTTCTCGAGGATGTTGGACGGCATTTGCTTTGCGCGCTGGGAGGACTCCTCGATCGCGCCTTCGCCATCTGCGCCAGTCTCCTTTGTCGCGTTGTCCGATTTGTCTTCGCTCTTCTCTTCCTGTGTAGTCTCTTCGGCTTTGGGGGCGGCGTCGGTGTCTTGTTCCGCCTGGTCGTCGGTGGTCTCCATATCAGTTGATGCAGGCTTGTCATCATCGCCATTGGCCAATGCCGTCGCGTCGCTCGCATCAACGAGGTCTTCAGCGGCCTTCTTCTCCGCCTCCTCTGCATCTTTGGAGTCTTGACCCCCATCCGAGGCGTCCTTCATCTCGCTGTCAGACTCCTTGCTGGCATCCATTGTCTCCTCGATAGTGGCTTGCTTCTTGGACGCCTTGCGGTCGCGCTTGGGAGACGGCTCGACTTCGGGCTTGCGTTTGGTGCCGGCTGTGACATCGTTACCCTTTGCTGGGCTGGAGCCACCGTCGGTGCTGCGTGCAGAGGAGCGTGTTCCTGCCATTGTGGATGCGGTGAGGTCAATTGAGTGAAGTAGTGTATGTTTTTTGAAGAATGAGTGAAAGGATGGGAGAAAGATGGGAGAAGTAATAAAGGAGGCGGATGTTTGCGCGCGCTGGTGGTTTGTGGCAGGCGCGTCGCGTGAAATGGTGACGTCAATGGCAGTCATTAGCACATCGACGCGTCAGGAAGGCACGTGCAGCATTGGACCATCAGACGGAGGCTGCGAGCGGTCATGAGCGAGAATTTGAGAGCGCGTGAGATAGCGTCGCGCATTCACGCGCTTGATGTAGCAAACCTATCGAAGCTGATATACAAGGCCTTCGTATCGTACATTCTCTCATCGAGCGCACCCCGGTCCACGTAGACGAAGCCACAAACGACATTGCTTATTCGTACTTCTCGAGAAAGGCGTGAATGCCGTCGGCGATGCCCTCCGGACTTGGCTTCTCAGCGCATACATCAGGAGTGAAGCCAAACTCTTGCTTCAGATAATCGCGCGTGGTCGGACCGATGGTGCATATCAGGATGTCTCTCTGATCAGCAGTAGCTTTGGCTCTCCCAGTGTCTATGTCCAGAAGACCAAGGCTTTCAAGCATCGCCTGGCATCCGCTTGGAGAGAATACAACGACCCACTGCCGTTTCGAGCCCTGATCCGCGTTTCTGCGCCAGATTGCGGAGAAGTCCTCCTTGAAAGACTGCATCTCTCCAGTCTCGTATATAACCAATTCATCTACTCTCGCCCTCTCATTTGGATCCAGCTCTTCTGACTGCAGGGTCTTTGGTATTATATCCCTCCTCTTATCGCCGACCATGAACAATACGGGTGGATTCGCAACACCTGGATAAAGGGCGTTGTAATGCTTCAAGATGAAGCCAGCGAGAGCTTCGCCGTTGCCGGTTTCCTCTCCCAGGATTGGACACTTAAGACCCAGTGATCGCAGTCCGCGAGCGGTAGCTGGGCCTACTACGTACAGCGGCAGACTCTCTGGCAGCAGGTCGTCGATGTCGAGGGCGCCTTCTCTACGGATTTCCTCGACAACCTCGCTGAAGGCTTCGACTGCACGCTGCGAGGTGAAGATCAGCGCACCATATGTCGCAAGACCCTGCTGCGTTTGTGGCACGAAGCCGCGATTGGTGACATGTTGGCGCACCTCACGCAGGGCATCTCGCTTGAACCTGTGCTCGAGAACGGGCACGAAGACGGGCGCATAGCTGCCGTTGTCGAGTTCAAGGAACAGCTCTTCGTACGTGTCTTTGGGCACTGACTTGGTCTTGAGCAGCAGAATGGGCATGCTGCCCCGCGATTGTTCCGCCATAGCCGTGGTTTGGTGTGTGCGTGGTCGAGGCCCCGAGTGAAGGGTCAAGACTGCGGGCGGCACACTAGGCCGCCCGCTAAACATCGGGAAAAGTTGCCAGCATCCGTGGTTCACTCGAGACCCTCGAATTTAATAGTTGTCCTCCCACCGCCCTCACGCCTCGCCTGCACATTCACGACTCGGCGGTCTACTCAGATCTCGCAGACCTCTCTCCCCCGCTGCAACGCCCAGTCAGCCCTCAACCCAATTGACTGCACAGCAAACATGGCCGACGTCGCAACTCCACCCGCCGCCCAGGCCTCGACCAACGGCGCTGCTGCCCCTCCGGCGAAGCAGCAGGTTGTCAAGCCCGACAAGCCGGACGAGGACAAGTACAAGGAGGAGCTCGCCAAGCTGGAGAAGGAGCACGCCGCCGCCCAGGAGAAGCTGGTGAGTACATGGCCCCGTGTGGTGCGCGCAGTCGCACGGCCACGAGCTGACGGGTGGCTGCATCGCACACCACCACTCAATTCGGGAAAATTACTAACGACGGCCAGAACGCGTGCAAGGCCAAGCTCGACCTCGCCAAGCCCAACAACAAGGACTCGCCCAACGCGAAGCGCCAGCAGGAGCTCAAGACGGAGCTCAACGCCATCCGCTCGACCCAGCAGGGCAACAAGTCCGGCCGCAACTCCATCTTCGAGAAGATCAAGAAGCTCGACGAGCAGCTTAAGCAGCAGCTCAACGAGCTCAAGACGGCCAAGGGCAAGTCCAACTACAAGTCGGCCGAGGATGTGGACCAGGAGATTGCCCGTCTGCAGAAGCAGGTCGACGGCGGCATGATGAAGCTCGTCGACGAGAAGAAGGCCCTGGCCGAGATCAGCGCCCTCAACAAGGCCAAGAAGAACTTCTCCGGCTTCGACTCCCAGCAGAAGAAGATTGACGACATCAAGGCCCAGATCGCTGAGCAGAAGAAGCTGCTGGACGACCCGGAGAACAAGGCTCTCTCCGAGAAATACACCAAGCTCCAGACCGAGCTCGACGGACTCAAGGCTGAGCAAGACGAGGCCTTCAAGAACCTGAGGTCGCTCCGTGAGGAGACCGACAAGGCGCGCGCAGTGCAGCAGGAGAAGTATCAGGCCCGCAAGGAGCTCAAGGACAACTACTTCCAGCAGCTCCGCGCTTTCAAGAACTACGAGTTCGAGGCGCGCAAGATCCGCAACGAGAAGAGGCGCCTCGAGCAGCTCCAGTACGTCGCCGGCAAGCGCAAGGAGACTGCTTCCAAGCGTCTCGAGGAGGCCAGCGCACCCGCCTACGGCGACGAGATCATTGCCTGCGAGGGCTTGATCCGCCACTTCGACCCCTCCGCACTCCCCGCGAAGGAGACCACCGCCGCCAGCAAGTTCGCCGCCTCCGCTCAGCGCACCGTCGACGACTCGGGCCTGAAGGGTACCCGCATATCGAAGAAGGACACCGAGGAGGAGAGCTACATGGCTGGTACTGGTGGCAAGAAGGGAAAGAAGGGCAAGAAGGGCGGCGCTGCTGCCAGCAAGTTCAACTTGAACATTGGCATCATCGAGGAGCTCGCCAAGGTCGGCGTCGACCCCCCATCAAGCCAGGACGAAGTCCCCGCCACCGTCGAGAAGCTCCAGGCCAAGCTTGCCCACTGGAAAGAGGACCAGGACCGCAAGACCAAGGAGGTGAGTGATTCTACATTCCACTGCGAGGGTGCTGCTAACGAGTCTTCAGAACATCGCCAAGGCGCAGAAGGAAATCGACAAGCTTGAGGCTGAAGAAGCCGCAGAGGACGCCGCCAACGGCAGCACCGACGCCGCTCGCAAGCCCGCCCAGAAGAACCAGGCCGTCAACGGCGACGCTTCCGCCGAGGCTGAGCTTGCACAGGAGAAGGACGCCGCAGCGGACGCTGCTGACGACCTCAAGAAGGCCACGATCGAGGACAAGGAGACTGCCGCCGACGCATAGAGTGCGCAGTGTCAGACATTGTCACTAGGGGTGTTAGCCTCTTGAAATTTGGGTCATATTTCCGGGATATTGGCATGGTGTAGGATCTAGCCCACATCTTCATTTCTAGCTTGGGATCTTGGAATCGGTACATTGTCCGCTATTGTTACGAGATACCAGCATGGCATGGGACGGGGTCACGGAGTGGAGTACGATGTGTCTCATTTAGACGCGCAGCAGACCTAAAAGGTTAATATCACCATCTCATCTTCAATGCGTCGATCAAAGTGACATGTACGACTAAGCATCTAGAACTTGGTCATTAGCTCAAAGAAGCATGACATGACGCAAGACCCTGAACTACAGACTAGACCATCCGCAACAGGAGCCGGTGCCGGTGACAGCCAAAAGAAGTTACCCCACATACATAGCGGGGTGGATGTGGTTCCCAAACGCGTGGTGGTGGTACTGATGACATCATTGGCAAAGTCCTACAAAGTCGCGCGACATTCTCGACTCCTCTCCCACACACTACCTGCCTAACGATAACTACCCCTCCAAAGGTATGCTTTCCTCTCGTTTCCTTTCTCAGTGCATCGCAAGGACAGCGCGAAGGTCGCCTCGAACATTGTGCCTACAGAAGCTGACGCCTTCTTCCCAGCTACCAAACAACCACGCCGCTCAACGCGTGTTCTCTACATCCACCATCACCATGTCTGGCTTCAGCAACACCGACACCGGCTCCAAGACCGCCGACCCTTACACCCAGAAGAACCTCGAGGAGCCCTCTCTCAAGGAGAAGTGCGAGGACCTGCTCAACTTTGTCGACAAGACCAAGTTCTGCCTGTTGACCACACAGGCCGCAGACAGCGATCTTTTGGCCTCAAGAGCTATGGCTGTCGCTGCAAAGGTACTGCACACCCAATTGATGATCAAAGACATGACTGACAAACAACAGGAGGGCCACGGCTTCGACCTCCTCTTCCACACCAACACTGAGTCCGGCAAGACGGACGACCTCAAGGAGCACAAGTCCGTCAACGTCGGCTTCATCAACAACTCAGGCGAGTGGGCCTCCATCTCCGGCCACGCCTCCATCGAGACAGACCGTGACGTCGTCCGCAAGCACTACTCTCCCGCGCTCAAGGCGTGGATTGGCGATCTCGGTGACGGCAAGCATGACGGTGGCCCAGAGGACCCGCGCATTGGCATCATCCGCGTCAAGGTCAGCACCGCACAGTACGCTGTGTCGAAGCGGACACAGATTGGCGGTCTTGTGGAGCTGGCGAAGGGGATTGCGACTGGTGAGGCGCCGAATGTTAACAAGCTGAGGCATCTTGATGAGGCCGAGATCCAGCAGTACAGGTCGCAGTAGATGGACATGGGAAATCTCATGATACTCCAAGAAAGAGGAAAGGGATAGAACCATGATGACCAAGAAGAAATCAAATAATAAACATGCTTCCCACCACCATGTCCTCGTTGCATAGATGTGAGGCTTGTTGGAGCGTGATGAAACTCAAAATGACGTCACACAAGCGCGTTCCATCCTGGTCCTTCCGCGTGCGTCAAACCTCGGCGCCTTGCACAGCTCAAAGCACTCACCCACCAAACACCCGTCGCATCTCCCATAACCCCCCTCTGCGCATTTACAATGGAAGACCCAGGTACGTCGCCCGCTCCCCTCCTCCCTTCCTCTCCTCCAACCCCCATCCCCCCATCCTCAACGCGCATCCCACTAACGCAAGCCCTCCCATCGCAACACAGTCAAAGAAATACCCGCCATCATCCACCTCCTCACGCAATCGCCCCCGTCCCTCCAGCGCGCAACCATCGACAAATACTTCACACCCGACGCCGCGTTCTCGCATCCTTTTTGCCGCACATGGAGCCGACCGAATTCTAGGTGGTTGGTCGAGCGGACGTATCGCTGGTATAAGATTATGAGTCCGAGGATTGATTGTACGGTGCAGAGCGTCGGTACGTGTTAGCTTGGATGGATTGTGAGGACCAGAAAAGAGTGCAATAACTAACTGAGCGAAACAGCATTCGACGAAACCAACCTCATCCTCTACGCAACCATCTTCCAGATCTTCCGCATCTGGTTCATACCCTTCTACTACGCGCCCGTCCGCCTCACCACCGTTCTCCACCTGCGCGAATCCCCTTCCACCACCACCACCACCACCTCCTCCTCCTCCCCACCCGCAAAACCAAAATACCACATCTCCAAACAAGAAGACCTCTACCAAGTCGACCAATGGATACGTTTCGTCGCGCCAGGCGCCTGGATGCTAATCTGGCTCTGGCAGGCTTGGGCCACGGTGTTCTGTGTCGCAGGCACTATGCTGCTTTGGCCGATCACTTGGATGGAGGAGAATTGGGGGTGGGGTGAGGGCGTGGGGATGCAGAGTGGGACGGGGCTTGTTAAGGGGTTTAGGATTGTGGGGAAGGGTGGGAAGGAGGGGGAGGTTAGGGCGGATGGGCTGGACGAGAAGGAGGTTTTGGCGAAGACGGAGTTGAGGGGGAGGATTGTGGGGTGAGATGGATGGGGGATGAAGGGAGGGGAGGTGTGTGGTATGCATGGTTGAAGGGTTGCTTGGTGGATAATGACTTGGGTCGTTGGGATGGAATATAATGCTAGCACGGGAGTTGAGATGAGGCCATGGGAACTTGGCGGTACGTTGTTTCGAAGAGTAGACAAGCATATCTGTTCATTTAGGCTATACCCGTGTGTAACGTCGGACTTTACTATTTCCAGATAGACGCAAGAGAGGTTATGGATGCTAAGCTGACCCCTCCGCCACTGCATCCTGGCTCTCAATTGATAGGGCTGAAGTCCATGGAGAGCGACAAGAACGTGCTTGGACGTACGATTAGAATGCTCGCGATGAAGGAAATATGGAGGTGAAATGACGATTGTCGCGTCATGATACTCCGCAGAAGGCGCTAAACGCACCACGTGAACACCCGTTTTCCTCCACGCGTCGCGTCGCCGAACCCACCTCCACCAAGCTACAATGCCCAACACCAACTCACCACGAGATTTCCACCACCCATACACGCCCTACGATATCCAAAATGAGTTCATGGACGCTGTCTACACGTGTCTGGAAGAAGGCAAAGTCGGCATCTTCGAGTCGCCGACCGGAACCGGTAAATCGCTGAGCTTGATATGTGGCTCCATGACTTGGCTACGCGATCATAAGCGACGGACGTTCGAAGAAGGCTTCACGGTAGATGCGGCGAACGCAGCGAATAGTGAGGAGCCTTCTTGGATTGTTGAACACGCACAGAAGCAGCGGAAGCAGGAGGCGCTGAGGCGGAAGCAGGATCTTAATGACCGGATTGCTAAGATTAAAGCGAAAGAGAAGCGTGCGAAGGAACGGTATGAGAGCGGCGAGCCCAAGTATAAGAGACAGAAGACTGCGGCAGGCGACATCGAGAATGACGATGAAGCCCAATTCGCTTTGGATGATTACGAAAGCGACGAGGAGTCTCACAAACGAGCAAGAGCCGGCGCGTTCGATGAGTCTGGACTGTCGGCAGAAACCCAGGCTTTGATGGCGTCACTTGGGTACAGCGCCGATGCATCAAAAGATGACGACGGAGAGGCGCCTGACGAGACGAAAATATTCTTCTGCTCGCGAACACACTCTCAGTTGACGCAATTCTCGAGCGAGCTGGGTCGCGTGAAGATGCCCCCCGCCATCGCCCCTGACGAGAATGTAAGCGGTGGTGAAATAGACACGCTTGTAGAAGACGTGAAGCACCTTACTCTTGGATCAAGGAAGAACCTCTGCATCAACAGTAAAGTCAACAAGCTCGGTAGCGCCACGGCCATCAACGAACGATGTCTGGAGCTACAGCAAAACAGCAAGACTGAAAGCCGGTGTCCGCATATGCCGACCAAGGAAAGCGAGCCGTTGGTCAATGACTTCCGTGACCATGCGCTTGCGAAGATTAGAGATATCGAGGACTTGGGGGTGTTGGGTAAGAAGCTGGGTGTATGTCCATACTATGCTTCTAGACCAGCTACCAAGTACTGCGAGGCAAGTCGACTATATCTTCCCGCGGTGTCTTGATGTGCTAACAGGCTCAGATCGTAACGCTACCCTATCCGCTACTCCTCCAGCGTACAGCTCGTGAAGCACTTGGCCTCTCCCTCAAAAACCACATCGTCATCATCGACGAAGCGCACAACTTGATGGACGCCATCGCAGGCATCTATTCCGTATCCGTGACCCTCGAACAAGTACAACAAGCGCGTGCCCAACTCACAGCCTACCTCCAGAAGTTCCGGAACAAGCTCAAAGGGAAGAATCGCGTGTATGTTGCCCAGACAGTCCGTATCTTGGACTCTATCATCGCGTATCTGCAGTCCATCGATGCCAACGCGAAAGCGGCAGACGGCTTGGCAGACATGGCTGCGATCATGTCTGGGAAAGGTGTTGATCAGATCAATATCTACAAGCTTAACACGTATCTCCAAGAAAGCAGACTGGCGCGTAAAGTAGACGGATACACCGTGTTCGCCGAGCAAGCGGAGAGTGGAAGCGCGCAGAAGTCAATTGCAAAGTCGGCCAGGAATGGTCCGCGACATACTGTGCCAGTCCTGATGAACGTGCAAGCCTTCCTCCTGTCATTGATGAACCCATCCAGCGAAGGCCGCTTCTTCTACGCAAAAGAAGAAGTCTCAGGCACCACGCTACGATACATGCTCCTGGACCCAACCTACCACTTCAAAGACATTGTCGAAGAAGCCAGGGCAGTCGTACTAGCCGGCGGCACCATGTCACCAATGAGCGACTACGAGCAGCATCTGCTATCGTACCTGGATCCCTCAAAGATCATGACACTATCCTGCGGCCACGTCATTCCGCCCGCGAACCTCCTCGCTGCACCCATCGTAAGAGCAGCAAGCGGCGCTGAATTCGACTTCACCTTCGAGAACCGCAACAAAGAGAATACGATGATCGATCTCGGCAACGCCATCTTGACATTCGCGCAGCACATCCCCGATGGCGTAGTCGTCTTCTTCCCCAGCTACTCCTTCCTCGACGCCTGCATCGTCGCGTGGAAGCGCATTAAGCCCACACCTTTAACATCAACATCCACTTTCTGGGACAGCTTCACCCAAACAAAACCCGTTTTCCTTGAGCAGCGCAGCCAGCAACAGCCGTCTAACCAACCACCACCATCCAAAGAGGCAACCGCAGACTCCGTCCTCACAGCCTACAGCGCAGCAATTGCATCAGGAAAAGGCCGCGGCGCCCTCCTCTTCGCTGTAATCGGCGGCACCCTCTCCGAAGGCATCAATTTCAGCGACGCACTCGGCCGCGGCGTCGTTGTCGTTGGTCTCCCGTTTCCTAATCCACACTCTGCGGAATGGAAGGCGAAGATGCAGTATATTTCCGCCAAAACACAAGCGAAAAGCGGCGGTGGTAGTGATGGCAAGGCAGCTGCGCGCGAGTTCTACGAGAACGTCTGTATGCGCGCTGTTAATCAGTGTGTGGGCAGGGCGATTCGTCATAAAGGTGATTATGCGGCGATTCTGATGTTGGATAGGAGGTATGGGAGTAGGCGGGTTCAGGATAAGTTGCCGAAGTGGATTCGGGGGAGTTTGACGGGCGGGTTGGGGGTCGGGGATATTGGGGGGAGGTTAGATAGGTTCTTTAAAGGTAGGGCTTAGAGCAGTATACCGCGCGACGTTGGTGTATGGGATTTTGGGCGAAAGCTTGATGGGTTCTTTGCCGGTAAGACTTCAGGGTATACCGCGCGGCTTTGCTGGGATGATACGGAGATGACTGATCATCGTACGCGTGCTTTGGTATCTTCGAGGTTCCGTGGCGTAGCGGTGTAAAACAGCCTTGCGGCGGTCAGAGTAGAGCTTATACAAGTATACGCCGTTGTGTACGCTAAGGATGTAGTGTACAGTGATATACGCCGAGTGTCTACATCGACTTCTACACCGTGCGCAATATACTTTCACCATCGCAAAAGATGCCGAAAAGCGGTCTGTTCAAAGCGCATCCTCCTCAGTTTTGGCATGGTAGAAGACTCTGGGAGTTGAAGCGGCTTCATCGGGTGTAAGACCGGAGCTGCCCCCGGATTCTAGTTCGTCTTAGTACGGACTGGCACAGGTATGCTTACACCTCGTCTCCTTGTGAGGTAGATTATAGACTCTCTGAATGAGGCCCTGCTCTACGTTCTACTGGTTCTATTGGCGGATGGTCACTAATCGTGCACTGTCGCGGAGGTGTTGTTCGTCCGGTGAGGCGGACGTACACGAATGTGTAAGGTCATCAATGAACTTTACACTACAAACTTTAGTCGCTTAGTACGTTGTACATTCGAAGATGTATGCTCACCGAACACGAGGGATGTGTATATAAGACCCGACCTGACCATTTCATTCAACTCATCGAACAGATCCAGCATCTTCATCCACCAACATCACAACGCCCACACTCCCCAAAACAACACCACTCCCTTCCTCCAACGCAAACCTAAAAAGTACCACTCCCCCCTCTCCTCTGTTCTCCCTCCTCCCTCCTCCACCACTGACCCCATCCAGTCCTCCCTCAAAATGCGTTTCCAAATCCTCCCCCTCACCCTCCTCACCTTCACCACAACCACGCTCGCCTGCTACCAAACCTCCCGCTGCTCCGCCCCGAACGGGCCCGACATCGCCGTGCAATCCAACGGGCACAACGACCCGGAGCACAACCAAGCGCGATTCACAGTCGCTTTCAAAGACGGGAAGTACGGGCCTGACACGTTTGCCGGCATGGTGAACCATCTCAGGTGTGATGTGGTTGTGAAGATTAAGAGTCCGGCGCAGAATGATGCGTTGCAGTGCTGGATTGTGCCGCCCGGGGAGCAGTGTAATTTGGATGTTAGTATTGCGGGGATTTGGTGGAGGCAATCTTGTACTTCGTAGATGGGGGGATGGGGTGGTTGATGGGGTAGATGTAAAGGGAGTGTTGGTAGCGCGCCAACACAATGTCTCCAAAAAATCAAGTTGTCTGTGTTTGCCAATCCATACTGCACGATCTCATTCCACATCGCCGCGGATAATCGCTCGCTCATCGTATGGCTTTTGGCTTGATAGCTGGCTCGTAGCCTAACCAGTCGACTCGTTGTGTTTCTCGCTTAACGCAATGTAGGAACGCAAGGTCGCTGCGCGTGTGACAAACTACTACGCCATCCTAATCACTATGCCGTTCTTGTTAGCAGTCTGAATGGCCGATGTATTTATGAGAGCGAGTCGCTGTAGATCCGCCTCTGTATCTTTTTGGGGACGTTGATGTACTTTCCAAACTAGCTGCCTTCGCTCGTCGGTATCGAAGCAAAATGCTGCTTGACTACTTCGACTTAGAAAGAACCTCAGCGAGCCCTGAAGATGTACATCAACTGCGGACTATCATGGTAAATCGTGTCAGAATGGTCTACAGTGAACAAGGTAAGAATGTATTAACTACCCGAATTTCTAGAGCTTTAGAGCTGTCGCACACAAGATAAATTTACGATAAAACAGGCCCTCCGCCAACCTGCGGCCACGAATAGCTTAGCCGATGGTCTCGGGCATAAAGTTGTTCGAGAGACAGCAAACTGTGGCGACGCACGTAGATGCAGAGGCGACTTGGCCTGGACAGTTGTGAATCGGTTAATCCTGTGAATAGGGTAAAGTGTTACGCCACCCCCGTTGTCCCCTGCAGTCAGACTAGTAGGTACATCAGTTACTGACGTAGGATTGTCGGAGAAACGGCTGGAGCGTGTTGTAAGCAACAAATCAGAGACAAGCGTATGCGGCTGGAGCGTGTGGTAAACTACAAATCAGGGACAAGCGTATGCGGCTGGAGCGTGTTGTGGAAACAGCAAGTTAGGGACAAGCGTGAGCGGCGAACATCTACACTGGTTGGTCAGGCATGGGCGAATCAAGTTAGAACAACAGACCGGTGTTGAGCTTGGGCCTACACTGACGGTCGCGAGCCGATTGCGTTCCCGGAGCCTAGGCTCAATCAGTGGCTTTTAAATACAGAGTAGGCAGATTCTGAGATTATGCTAGACAGGACAGCATGATCAGGAGCTAAGATGAACGCCCTCCAATCGACACACAACCGGTGGAGACTACAGGGCTACAGGAGGCTGGTCGCATATCAATGGCCGCCTGAGCGAGAAATCCTTCCGCAACGTTCAAGCTTCATACGCCCACAAAACGCCCTTAGCTTTATCCAGCAAATCGCCGGCACTGCTAGCCACCTAACTTGCCCGCATTAAGCGATGCAGACATAGCTGGGCGAATCACTGCCAGCTGTTACCACATCATTGCCTCGCCAAACGCTCCCCCGAGGCTGTGTAGGTCCAGGGCTGTTTCGAGCCAATAACAGCTCTGTCATGCGAGCTATACCCTATGGGTCGAGCTTGGCGTGTGGAAAGAAAGTGGTAGTTCTGCATATGTGAGAAGCAGAGCTATTTTGTTACTTGTTCAGCCGCCACGTACAATATAAAGTCGAAATGAAGGTCGCTTAGCGTGCATCACAATACATCTGTTCAGCCAAACTGTCCTTTTCTTGCCTTTCGCTCCCGGGCGGAACAACACTCAAGGCACACGTTGTGCAGTAGTCAGGCCATTCGTCTTTGAGGCTCTTCTGTATCACCGGACCCCAGCTGCGTCGTAGTACTGTATCTTAGTCCGGCAGTTCATTCCTGCTGTCAGGAGCAAACCATATGATGGACCTGAATAGTAATATCCTCCCACTTCATACCTTGCCGTACACACGCTCACATGTTGGTGTAGATACCGTGTCACACACGCAATCCTCTTCCACATCCGGCTGGTCCAAAGAAGCCATCTTCACCCTACTCAGCGTCTTCCTGACAATAGTCCTCGCCATCGTCGGTTTCACGTTACGATACTACTTGAACAAAGGGTCACTAGGATTTCCGAGGCGCAAGCGATGCCGAAGTGTAGGAGCTGGTGAGCTGCATGTCGAGCCATATATGCATGACACATGCTGAACAACTTTAGATGAGGAACTACACATGGACCGATCGGCGCAGTCTTCCTGTTGGGTCGAACTGGCTGAAGCTCGGCGTCATCAGCAGCGAACGTATACTTCGGTCTCGAGGCTGCGAAGAGGACCTAGGTCGTCGCGATCCTCGGGGGAGTGGTAGAATTATCAAGACGAAGGTCAATAGGAGACCGGTATGTGGTTCCTACGTCTCTCGGAGTGCACGTAGGGCCGGACTGGCTACTAGAGGTGTTGGAAGCGATCGTGGCGCGGCGTCAAATGTTGTTAAAGCGGAAGATAGCGGAGTCGGAGAGATAGTTGGAGCTACCAGATGATTGAAGCTGATAGCTCTTAGTAAGTAAGAAACAATGTAGTCCTAGAGAATTAACGAGCTTTGCGCTACTACTCTTAAAATGCCGGGAGATAGAGGTGATCAGGCTCCTTCGGCCACGTTCGCTTTCGCTTGTCAGCGAGCATTGAAGTGGCGTAGCGGGGAAACGAAGATAATGTTGTCTATCGTTGATGGTAATACTAATCAATCCAAGGATCACGGTAGCACTGATCTGACTTAGGTCGTGTTCGAAGGTCGAAGGTGTAAGGGTTGACGGGGAAGTCCCCGGGGCCAAAGTGACAGATCCCCATCGCCCACGTGCCCTCGCGTCGCGCTAACCCGATGCGACAACCCGGCCCAAGCTCTTCTCTTCCCCACACGCATGTGCCGGCGGCCCCTCGACGCGTCGTCACCAGCCCAATGGCCCCCGATGTAGCCTCCATGACCTCGACGCCCTCCACGCCTGCCTTGAAGCCATCGCAGAAACCCCCGTCCGGGCCCAACGTCCTCGAAGTCGTCTTCGGCTCGCTGCTCATACAGCCCTGGTACCCGTCTTTCTACCCGGAGGAGCTTGTAGGCCGACGCGTAGAGCGGCTGTATGTGTGCCAATGGTGCTTCAAGTATAGCAAAGAATTGGTGGGGTTTATTGGGCATTTGGTAAGCTTTCGAATGGATATGCGATGGGTGTGAGGGTTGGATTGGGAAGCTGATAAGTGGTAGAAAGCATGTCCTCTGCGCAATACACCCCCACCGGGCGTCAACGTCTACACGAAAGATAACTACTCACTATATGAAATCGACGGCGAAAAGCACAAGCTCTACGCACAGAATCTATCGCTCTTCGCCAAGCTCTTCCTCGATACCAAATCCGTTTTCTACGACGTTACAACATTCCTATACTACCTCCTCGTCGCACACAACCCCACACCAGAGATACCGAATACCAGTTTCGGCGACGATGCAGAGGCGAGTGGAGTCGGTGCGCAGGGGCAGGTCGTTGGCTTCTTCAGCAAAGAGAAGATGAGCTGGGACAACAACAATCTCGCATGCATCCTGGTGTTTCCGCCGTGGCAGAAACAAGGACTGGGGCAGATACTCATGGGCGCGAGCTATGAGATGAGTAGACGAGAGGAGAGGCTGGGTGGGCCTGAGAAACGTAGGTTGATGTTGTATCGGCGCATGGTACGTCTGCTAACACTACTACTACTACAGCGCTGTCGGATCTCGGTCGCATCGCATACATACATTACTGGTCGCAAACGCTCGCTCGGACGATCCTGGCTTGCCCTTCCAAGAAGACACTCACGGTGCAAGATCTGCGTGAGAAGACGTACATTGTACCCG